CCCGGGGGGGAACACGTGTATCACCCTCCAGACTCCGGGCTCACGTACGGTTTTTGGTGCAGCTGCTGACACTTAAGCGCGATACGGGAACAATTGGAGGAGGAGGCGCATCCCCAAATACCGGATCATCAGCGGTTCTACCCCTTGCCACTGGCCTCTGCTTCAATTTCTGCCCAGCTCGGCCTCAGGTGTTTGTCGTGGGAACGGAGGAAGGGTCCATATATAAATGCTCGAAGGACTATAGCGGCCAGTTTCTGGGCGCATACAAAGGCAAGCTACTAGCAGGATGGCGACACGCCCACATGTTGTAGTTGCACAACACAAAGTGCAGGTGCAACAGTCTATAGGCTCAAGGGGATCCAGTTCGAACACTGACAACATGCCGCCGGGGAAGCGAAGTGACAACACGAGAATACGGACATGCTTTGCTATTTTTAGGACACGATATGCCTGTAAGCACACTCCACTGGAGCCCGTTCAATGAACACATCTTCCTATCCGCTTCAGCGGACTGGCGGGTCATGCTGTGGGACGACCGACTCCAGCGAAGCATTGTGACGCTTGATTACGGCACGGTATGCAATCTAGGTGCTTCCCAGAGCCCGCTGTTCCCAAACGTCCTACCTGACTAGAAGCCATACTCACCTCGGTTCATCGGAATACAAGGGAACATGCAGAAGTGCATGTACTCCGTAGTGTCAAGCAGAATGCTGAATTGCCATAACGTGCTCCTTGCGAATCATTCACTGCGAACAGCCAGTGAGCGATGTGGCCTGGGCACCCTACAGCTCAACGCAGTTCGTCGCCTTGACAACAAACGGCATGGTAAGAAACGGCACACGCTCTGGCTAGCATGGAATCATCGTGAAACAATAACTAACTAGCTTACACGCCAAAGAGGCATGACGAGAGCAAGCCGGGCAACATACCTCAGACATGCCTCAGACTCAACGTGGAAAGCCAGAGTTGTGCTGTTGTGCTTGCGGCCTGCTATTCCCCATTTGTTTCATGCAGCTGCATTTGCACGATTTAAGCGAGCACCGAAGACTCCCTGTCCTCTCTCAAAAAGTGTGTCGCGCGCCCTCCGATCGTCGGATTGTGACCAAGAGCTTCTCACTATAAGTGGCCATGTTCCGTTCTTACCTTCAATATCTGGTTGCGAAAACGCATTTTAAACTGGCGCTTGGAAAATCAATCACCGAAGAAAAGACAACAGTCTAGTACACTGCTGTAGGTGCAAGTGCCTGTGCAGGTATGCAGTGACGCTGCTAGTGCCCGAATATGCTTTAATTCAAAGAGCTTCGTCCTTGCCGTTGCGGAGACAGGAGGCACTGTAAAAATCGTAAAGCTGCCACAGAAGGTGGCTAAAGTTCCAGTGAGCTAACCACTTTCAGATTGGCATAAAGGGCTTCGATATTTCGCTGAAGGACGAACTAGCAATAGAAACTGCCTGAACTGCACAGGGAACAATTATGCAAAGTAACAGTACTGGATTATAAACACTTCATAGTAAGGTAACTTCAGCATGCGACACACGTTTGCTGTGCTATGGGGCTATGCTAACGCTTCGATGCACTTGAGCAACACCACATTTGGTTTTGCCTAGCCTGCTACCAGTTCCGACTTTGGGTGGAGAGATCCAGAGCTTGGAGTCGCCGTGCAATTTCCGGCTGTGCTGTAGGAAAAGCCAGCGGATGCTGACAAGCTCTCAATGGAAGCTTGGCAGGCGGAGCGTCTTAACTCAATCCTACTGCAAATAAGCGAAGAATTCCGCACTGCCGCTAATCCTGTAGACCGCTCAATGCGTGAGCTACAGAAAATCTGCCAAGGAGGTTCTCCCGAAGCTCCACACGTTCACCAGGCTGACGAATAGAGACTCTACGTTCCCTGCAGTGAGGTGCAGGACCTGGATTTGCACACGGAGACGGGGAAATTTTGCCAGATTTGTTTTGCATTTTTGCTGCCGGCATGATGGGATGCACACAGTGAATCCAATACAACTGGCTGTACAGTTGTCGAGTCCCGGATTGCTCTGTAGTCTTGCAACGGGGCCTACTGACTCTTGCCCACGTTGAGGACGAGCATAACGCTTGCTGGGCAGTTAACATCTGACCAGTCCTCAAAGGCCTACGTAAGCGGGTTGGTGACGGAAGTGTTGGCATCTTGACCCTGCAGCTGGGGTTTGGTTTCCTTCATGCTGCGGGGATGCCCGTATCGGACGGAAACGTAGCTACGCCAAAAATTCTTAGTGATATATCTTAGCTGAAGAGCGACAGCTATGCCAACAAAGATCTTAGGCGGTGCAAGCAAGTTACACCAGCTCGAGAGCTTTCCCAATCGTGTCCGCTTCTATATCATTTGCACAACCCCGAGCCTGGTGACAAAGTTGGGTCTACGACTAGCTGCAAAAAAGGCAAAATGTGTTTTTTCCGTAGATCGTGCCCACTAGAAAAGTTTGCCCCTGGTTGGGTTAGGGAATACCATGATGCTACCTCATAATACTCTCACTAACCTAAGCTGTGTGACAGTTTTTCACTACTACACCTTCCTTCGTAGCCCTAGGAAGCTGTCCTAGTCAGCCACATCTGCAGGCTGGGTATCCATCTATATATTTTTGCCGGTAGCATTTTCTGAGTGTTTGAGGTTACACACACCTCTGTATCATTCATGTGTGTTAACTGCAGCGATTCATTCAGGTAGACGAAACTTGCACCAGCAAACCAGGTTGCTGATGAACATTCCGCTACAGTTCAACATCCCACGGAATTCCTTCAGAGTTAGAAAATAATATCATGGTCGATGGAGGAATATTCTGATGCCCAGCCGTGGTCCCAAGAGAATCTCACCGTAGGGCACGTCATAAAGAAATTGAGTTGCCAATGTTTCACTAGTGGCAAGTCACACATCAGCCTCCATTTTTACGCTGTAGGTGGAGATTGGTCATCCTGAAGCTCTTTGAAAAACGCTGCTCTTGCAGCTTCGACTGCTTCCTGAATTACCGCACTTTGAGTTTGAACTTGCTGCTTCTCATCCTGCCTTTTACCTTCTGCTTGCCGTTTTGTCATTTCAATGTTTTTCTCACGCCTTGCTTCACGCTCAAACATTGATCCGACTACTACCTTTTCATTGGCGGCGCATGCTTGTAGCGCTTCGCACAGGCCGAGCACTGTCACCCGTCCTTCAGCATCTCCCACGGCGACAAGCTCACCTTGGGCTTGAACCGAAAGGCGGGTTAGCGGACAGGTCCCGACTTTGTGCTGGAAGGCTACTTCATGCTGCTTGTAGTAGTAGTCCCAAAAGCTGAGAAAACCATCGCTTCGTGTAACCATAAACAATCCAGGACGTGTAGGACTCCACTGCCCGTCGGTGAGAGTAGCCGGATGATGGGGCGTTACTATCAGCGGAGTGCGCACTTCTTCCATCCATAGCTTGGCGGTCCAGTCGCCTACTGACAAAAAATACTTGCTGTGGAAGGGGTTCCTTCTGACGGCGCTTACTGGCCCATGGTGCTGCCCACCATCGCAGCCAAACCACTGGCTGATCTCGGGGGGCCTTTTAGGCCGCGTCTTCAAGCTCAACAGAGTGCCCTGCTCAGTCCCTAGAAGAAACTTCGTTGGTCCCGCCTCTAAAGACCAAGCTAGAGACCTGGCTCCTACAAGTTCGGAGACTTCGTTTTCATCAACCCCAGTGCATCCCTGAGAACCAGCCGCTGAATTCTGTTGCATTGGTGGAGTTAACCTGCACTCCTCGACTGGTTCTTTCAGGTTCCTGCAGTCCCACCACAAGACTCGTCCGTCCGTAGAAGCTGATACGAACTCGCTGTTTGTCTTACTTTGTGTCCACACGACCTCGTATACGGGATCATAGTGGCTGGTGCCGCAAACCGACACTTCAACTGGCTTCGTTCCCTTGCGCAGATCCCATAGGCAGACAACCCCATTGTAGCAGCCTCCAATAAGCATATCTGAAATTTTTGTGTTAAAGGCCAAAGAAACTGCCGGACTCGGCGATCCCAACTCTGTTACGGGCTCGTTGGGATGACGCGGATCCCACAGGAGTGCGCAAGTAGGAAGAGACTCTGGTTGACCTTGAAACTTCATAATGCCGTAGCCAACTGCTAGTTTCTGAGGGCCATCAGGATGCCAAGCAATGCATGTCACTGACCTTTTGCAGCACCCAGGGTGGTCCTTGAGGAGTGCTATAGACTTGGCATACATACGTTGCTCATTCCCTCTGGAAATTTCCATCCCCTTGAAGTAATCTTGAAATAGATCAACCACAAGGTTTTGCTGAAGTACGCGAGTACAGTCAGCGGTTAGCTGCTTGACGCTTTGCAGGAAGGCTGGGTCCCTTTCTGCCCTTTTCTTCCACTTTGCAACCTCCTGCGGGTCTGTTGAGTCAACCTCCTTAGGCCAACCTCCTTCTACGTGCCTCATCCCCCTCCCGCATACGCTGACGCTTCCTGTGTTTACAGTGTGCTCGGAGAGCTCTATCATTGTGTCTCCACAAAAATTTCTTGGATTCTGAGGAATTAACTGCTGCATCTGATCAGGATTCGGCTCGATAACACCCAGTAAACGGGGTTCGGTGGCACTGAAAGAGCAGTACCTCCCATACTCCTGACGGAGTTTAGAGTATGTATAGTAGTATTCATTCATTGTGGCTGAACTTCGAGGCCACAAACCAGAGTGTAGTAGGAATTTGGGCTCTGCAGAGGTCCACTACTAACGCACAACGTTTCTGTGCATTCGCTTGTGTGCCGCCCTACCTTATAGATGTCTACGTGATTAACGCATCACGAGGGTTTACGGGTTTAAAATTGGGCCACAGTTCCACAGCTAACTCTATGTGTAGAAACGGAATGCACGGGAACTCGAGAGAACCCAACAAGGCACGCGCCCAACGCTACATGCATCTACTTGTAGCCAGCCGCCGCGACATCAGGCGTGGAATCACTCAAGCGACGTTCAGTCAGCGGGAGCAGACACTTTGCATTCACAGAAAACGGATATTCAATTGATTTGAAAGAGCAGCATGACATGGTCAGCGTCTCGCAGCGCACACGTTGGAAGAGATCTGCGACCCGCTACCGCGCACCAAAAGCATGAAGAGACAAAAGTACACTGGAGATAATTTAGGTCAGCTGTTGAACTCTGCGCGTAACCTATCGCAAGCCAGATCGTCGGTAAGAATCTCTAGGCCTATGGACAAATAGACAGCCAGCCTCTAACCGCATAAGCATATCGAGCCCATGTGAAGTGCCCCTGTGTTCTGCGAGGCGGCTACGTCGGGTTGTCTCTGAAACAGGGGGACCCCGGCTGTCTTCAGCGTAATCAGATATTTCTATCTAAGGAAATAATATTATTTACTGCTGAACTTCTACCCAAATTCACGTGAGGGAAATACTCGGAAACTCGCTGCCGCCGAAGACACTGATACCACATAGAATGTGGTGTGAGCGTGCTGTGTAACACACATACTGGCACAGTTATAGTGACCCCCCTGCAGCAGGATGCCGTAACAAAAACGCGCAGCGCAAACGGACGCAATAACATGTAAACAAACCTAGAATTTCCACGAAGTTCGATTTTCCATGATATTCGATGCTTGTTCACATAGTGGGATGTTGCTTTGTATGGGGCCTGAGTAGGTTTAGCATCTGCCGAACAGACCTGCGCTCCAACGGGCTTGCTAATCTGGAGAATTGCTAAAGCCGTGGAGATCCCTAGAACTTTTAGATATCTCAAATGGCGCTCTGTCGGACACATTTGCATGCTCACGCCCGCACTCATTTTGGACACACTGCGGAGAACCGCTCCAGAGGATCAATGTTATCGTAGCTTTGGCAATCCGGAGGAGTCCTGAACTTGCTCGAATGACGTGTCAAGCTGTGTCTACACTCTTCTGCGTCTGACCACGACCGGATGTCTCTTCATGAGATCGGGCTGCGCTTCATGGCAGAGCTGTCTCGGGTGTTACCTTCCCTCGTTTCCGAGATTGTACGAAAGAAATTGTCGCTTCGACTAACTAATAAAAAGCGGGACAATGAGCAGTAGTCAGGCGTATAGTAGCACTGCTTGTTGTCACGTTTTGCTCCGGTACCTTTCCCCGTTGATGATTGACAATCGTGTTGTCGCATGGATTCTGGAACGGAATATTGCTGAGATGCGACTCTGGCAACGCCTGGGATTGAAACAGCGAACATGATGTTCCTTAGCCTTGATCAAGATCCCCCACCTTAGTTCTTCATAATCCAAAAAATATCTGTGGAGACACAGTGATGAAGCTATCCGAGCACAACGTAAATACTGGGAGCATCGAGACACACGGGAAATGCGCAAGGGAAAGTTTGCATCTCTGGCTTAAATGCGCAGTCTATATGTGCCTCTGGGCTGCTTCCTTGATGGCAGGCAATAAACGAATCCATTTTCACGTTAAGTTAAAAATATAGCTTGGATGTTTATGCCCTCATATGTATGGAGAGCTGGAGTATGTCAATCAGCGCAGTAGTTCCACAGCAAGGCAGATGGACGTGTCCTTCACTTTGCTAGCTTTGAAACAACCGCTGAAACAAAACAGATTTGAGCCGCCATAGATGTGCTGAACATGAACGAAGGAAAGGAAGAACCTGCTGCGGCCCTCAGCGGCGAAGACAGCTTGAAAACACTCGGTTTATTCTTGAAATAGCCAAGTCCAGACATCTGTGGGGACGCAGAGACTTTCAGCAACTCCTGGGACGTGAATAATCCACTGGAGGAATTCTGCAGATTCAAAAAGCAGACACTCGCGTTTACGCTCTACCCTTGAGCCCAGAAGAAATGCAACAGACTTTGCTCGGGTCCGAGTCAGGTTATTGCCTAGCTGCGCGGCTTAATTGTCATCGATTAGCAATGCGTACTACCCCTATCATATCTACAGCTGCCTTTGAGGCCCTCGCTCACCGCTGAACCAAAGTAACTTGTTCGAATCCGCCGTGTGAAAGCGTCTGAAACAAGCACATTCCACCATTTACGATCGTCCTCCATTGAAGCAGTTTTTTGACTCATGTGCCCAGTGTTTCAGAACTAAAGCATAGCCGTGCTGGTTTTTATTCGGCTCGGTTGTTGTTATTGGGCCCCTGCAATCAGCTAGCTTTGCTTGTGGTTCCTTGTCACGTAGCCTTCATGGGGGCCCACCTTATTGCTGCATCTGCCCACTCAGAGAGAATTTCTTGAGCCATTCTGTAACCTCTCGCAAAAACGGCACACTTTAGAGGGTATGATCGTCGACGCGATCTACTCTATCGGAAATATCTCACTATCTCTCCGTCCCGCCTAAAAGTTTGTTAGCCTGCCCTTGATTCAAAGGAAGCTACTCCGGACTATCTTACTCTTTCACTGCATCTTCGGAGTGCCTCTCGAGTATGACCCTGAAACGGCATATGATGACACTGTTCGCGCTTTTGGAACATGGGTTACTTAGTTGAGCCGCCGGGCGACCGTGAAAGGGTGAACTGTTGTTGCCGTACTTTGCTTTGAATTCTTCAGAATTCCAGTCATACGATGCAACACCGGATTTGAGAAAGCACATGAACAGCGAGCGCATAATATCGACAATGTCTTCTTTAACGATGTACCTGTAGCGCAACCACCACCGCTTCCCCTTTGTATTTGGCTGTTGAGCTGTCTTGCAAAGGGGGCTGCAAGTGTCACCTTCCAGCCAACTCACCCTTTATTTCCTCTGTCATATATGTGAAACAGAACTGCAGCAAAAACGCACAAGGAGCAAAGTTTAGCGCCTAATATTTAGGGGAATTTCGCGCTGTCTCTATTGTGAAATGGGTCACACCAATAAACGATGCGGCGCTCCATCCAACAAAAAATTAGCTTTCGAAGGCTGTTGGCTTCGAAAAGTGCGATGCGCTTACGCGTTAGGCGCTGATGAGGTGTACCTGCGGAGCACAGAGACAGTATAAGGACGACAGGTCGTTATAAAAGCCCACCACCTTTACTGAAAGATATTAGAGCGATGGCGCATAGTCCGTCATCAGATGCCTGTTTTGCATGACTTAGTGCTACAGTGCCTGCTGCGGCCTGTACATTTTACAGAGCTTGGTTGTCATCAGCGAAAACGTGCGCCTTACCGCGCGTCCAGATACTCAGTAAGCGGACGAATTCTTCAAAACCTATCTCGATGCCCCTGTCCTGCGTCCTGTGTTGCCAGAAGAGGCGAACAAATCTATCGGCAAAGACAAAACTGCAGGCGTTGGAGAGGTTGAACAGTCCTAGGAGGCTAACGGCACTTAACCCTCCTTCGAGAGGCTTTCGCTCGCCTGCTTGCAACCGGAAGCCTACATGACATTTCACAACTCCGAATTATGTAACTAGACTAGAGCGGAAAGGTAAATCTGATGCGCTGAGATGTGTGCGATATAAACGTGACCGTTAGGGTTGGAGGTGCACTCGGCTAAGCTGTTACCGCTGTAGAGAGCCTGGACTTCCTCAACAGAAACTGAACAACAAAACAGCTCAGGCAGCGCTCCTGAAGAAGTCTTTTGCTTGATTTCTTCAGTCCACGATGTTACACTCCTACACTAGTATATATACTGTATATTATGTATTAATGATTTCTGGAAAACGGCCTATGCTTGTTTTCTGGTCGGCCCTCCCTTCCCCTTGCCGTAGCATAGCGCCTTCTGATATCCACAGTTCTGGTGTCACTAACAATTACAGTATCCTGCATGCCTCTCATCTACCACCACTAAAACAGGCAGGTGGCTCACAGTGCGTCTGCAGCGCTAGCGATCTGAGCTCGGTTGTTGAGAACTTGAGCTTCTTAACATCAATCCGACCCCGCATCATTTGCGAAAAGCCAGCATCCCTCATTTTCTTAACACTCCACGATTGCCTGAGGTAGTTTGTGGGAGTGCAGCGCAGTAGCACTTCTTAACATAGTACTTTTCATGTCTACTGCTCGAAGTTTTTCGAGTGCGCTATCAGGTCCCTCGTGAATTTGCCCAAGCTCTTTTACATGGATTAGGCATGGAGCACGAGTTCTCCTGCTCCATGCATAATCCATATGTCAAGCCCTTTATTAGGGAACCGCTTTAGAGTGGACCTTAAATGCATGTTTAAATGAGAACTCGAGGGCGACTGTGGAGATTGGATTGTGCAAGAGCGAATCTAGAGAGCAATCTGGAACCGGTTAGGCATTAGTGGAAGACGAGCAAGACAATGTACCTGAACAAAGAGGTACAATAATGAAGTGCAAAATATGCACTAGGAAACAATGGATACTTCGTAGGTAAATATCCCTGAAAGTTTGTGGAATAGCAGTTGCAGTGGCCTGCCAAGCAAAAGGACAGCAGTCAATGCAGAGCAAACGATATATCGTAATGCTCGCCATAAACTCTAAATTTTAGAGGTGTGGAGAGAAAGTGAGACTGATGGTAGCGATCCCCTAAATATCATCGCTCTGTCAACGGCTAACGAACCTCATGTGTCACATGTGCATCGTTTGGCTGCGTTTGAGATCTCGTAGATAAATATGACTTGATCGTCAGCTAGAGCATCAACCAGATAGTGTGCGAAAAGGCAGTTTTAAGCGGAACACATACCAGGTCTGCGATCGGGGCCAGTGTTGTACAGCAAGTGACCCTGGGGCTGTCATCAAACCCACCGTGCATGCATGCGTCCACGTAGTAAAGGCATAAACTTATCATTTGCTTGTTTTTCACTTCTTTAGATTTGTGAACAGATTCCAAATATGCCTTGGTATTTCCGCCTGCGGTACAGAGAGATTCGAGCTCACCCCGCCTGCTCTGGCCCCTGAGGCGTTGCTCGCTGTAGATAGATCTGCTACAGAGGGCTCACATTGCCACAAAAAGGAATACGTTCTGCAACTTTATTATTTGTAGACTACACGAGGCTGAAATTCACCCGGTAACTGAGGACCCTACCTGTCATTCCTTGTGCCTGCTCAAGGACGCGGTTGGACTCGTTAGAATACTTGGCATCTTGAAATGGAAGGCCTCTAAAAGAAAAAGTCACACACGGAGCAACCTGAGAGCAAGCCTGTGATAATAACCTTTATATATTTTACCTTGCTACTTGCCCACGAGATCTGCACAAAGTCAGAAACAGACCTAGGATGGATAGCGTGGCTTGGCGAAGCACAGAAGACCAATTTTGATTCGGTGGAGGAGAAGGGAATGCGATAAAAACATCGTTTCCCCCACTCCAGATTAAAGTACGGTATATTAACGTAGAATATATGCAGGAAACTCATGGCGGAGCTGCTGACAAGAACAAGGCCGTTAAATGGATTGAATGCTTGGGTGGTCCAGCAAACTTGTTGCTCGCCCAAAAAAGTTGCCAGTGTCTTGCTACCTAAATGAAAAAGCGTTGTATGGTGCTACGCCAGCTTGTGTGGTTTCTGCGTAGGCTAAAACGCTCATGAAGTTCTTCCCTTTCGACAAAAAAGACTGCCTGAAAAAAAGAGGAGAGTTTGGTAAATGCACGTTGGATAGGCAGGTGGCATCTCGGGATCAGTATGCAACATGAAGGACCGTCGTCGGCGCTAGACGTTTTTGATTCATTAGTGAAGGGCCATCACAAACACGATGAGCAGCTTGTGCAAAAATGAGCGGAAAGGCACGCGGTTGCCCCAGGGAGGGTGAATCCTCTGTGCAACCGTATGAATGTAAAAATATGGAGGAGGCATGCGATAGCGCATGGCTTCTGTGGGAAGCTACAATGCTTGCGGCTGCCTTGGATGCCTATCGGAACACGAACCTTAGACGGTTAGCAGTGACACACCGCATCGAGCAAGGAACTAGAGTCTGTCCGTCTTGAAACAAGCAACTAGGTGTTCCGTGACACAACAGAGACAGGAAGCCGCAGCTTTACCAGTTGCTGAGTACAGTTATGCGGCACAATCGGATGACTCTTGCAGACTAGACACATACTGTTATCAGCGCGGAGGAGTCACCGCCTCCTCTTCCGCTTGCCGTTTTCCTTGAAGCGCAATCCACGTCTCACGATGAGGTTTCCGTTTCTCACTCGCGCACACTCTGCAAAAGCATACCGAACTAAGAGGGAGGTTGCCAGCGTATAATGCTTGCAGAGATTTCCCCGACTTCGGCCCGTGGGCGTTCAGCAGCACTGCAGAAGACGGAAGGCACAAGAAGAACGACCTACGCCTCTTCGTGGGCCTTTGTTTCCGTTTGCTGAGCCTATTGGGCTGTCAACTGCCTGATATCGACTACGACTGCGTTGAAGCTGCAATTGAAGCGATACGTGAGCCACAGCATTACGCCATACTAATCACTGGCTTGCGGAGTATAAATGCCCACACAGACCTCACCAACGAGGCAAATGCATGTTGCGCTGCACAATAAGTGTACGCATGTACATATTATATTACATTTACATATATATTATATAGTGGTGACCTTGTTGCCTGCCTGTAAGCTGAATCCATGTTCTTGCAAAACCGTGCGACTTTTCAGATGCCTCAGTTGTCAAGATTAAAGTTGTGGACTCATTATATGAAGTGCAGGACCTTATGGTTAGATTAGCATTGCCAATCCAGCCTTAAGGCTGCAGGCTGCTGGTGAAGGCTGCTGCAGGATACTGAGCTTTAGATGTTGCCTACGCTTGTTAAAGGCCCCAGTTCAACATCTGAAAGATACGAACAGCACAAACACAGGCACAAAGCCGTCGACAGATGAACTTCCATCTAGATGCACAGCGTTTGAGCTCCATCTTGTAGCATAGTGTACAGTATCGACGCTAAACAGACCACATACTCTTAAGGAGGGCGCCATGCATTGTGCTAGTTGCATTTTGTTTGTATGTACGTTGGAGTTGCAAAGGGAGCATCACCTTTGCTCCCGTGAGGTATACTTATACACTTATTATTTACATATTATATATAATGGGCGGCGTGTTTGTCCCTCAGAGCCCAGGACGACAACACTGCCTTCTGATCTACAGGCTGCTACAGATGGTGTGCTCCCTGCTGGCGACACACCAGTTCACTGCAAAAGCCACTAAAACTTAGAGAGGCACGAACCCCTCAGCAGATGATCTTGCAACTCGATAGACACCTTCATGGAGCGCGGTTTACACTCAGTAACCTATGCGACGTCTAAAATTACACAAGTGCTCACAAACGCAAAGGCCTGCTAACCGCCTCACGCGGACCACAACAACGATACTACACTGAAAGGAATGCGAGCAGAGTTTGTCTTCGGCGTTCAAAGAAGCTTTGGACTTCGATGTGTGTGACATGTTGGCCGCGCAGCTTGCAAAGAAAAGCCGCCTTTCCTTCGCCCCCTCGGTTTGCACTATTGCGTTATCCGCCCCGGCAGCGCCCGTTGCAGCGAAACCAGTTGTGAGCAGAAAAACTGTAAGCAGCACGGAACAGGCAGCGGATGCCCAAGGAAAAGGGGTAGAAACACACGAGACAAAACAAAAATTGTGCTATCTCTACACAGAGCGACTTGAACAGAGAACTCCTCTCCTTGTGATGACTCGGCGCGCCAATTGAGACTCCTGTATCCTCAGGAGGCCAGTGACGCAGTAGCTCCTGGAGGGACCGCAGCATGCAGCGAGCCTGCTACCGCTACTTTCTCTGAGGTCAGCTTGTGACACTCCGCCTTCAGAAGTTCCAACATCTCAGCTTCCCATCTTGGCCCATGCCTCTGAGGAAGAGGCAGCAGCATGACGTCTCTGTGCTGCAAGCCCTATTGCATGCAGATCAAAGAAGGGGAGTTCTTGCAGACGGAAGAGCGCCTCTGGATGACCTCTGACGTGCGGCCCATCGCTAGTCACAGTACCTGTCCTGGTGTTCGCTGGAGACAGCACCAGCGAGCCCTCAAGTCAAAGCAAGCAGAGCTGCAGTGCCAAGTCCGAAAACTCAAGGCGGTTTTGCCTGGACTGGTAGAACAAAGCAGGCGACGCATCGTAGAACTAAAGAGCAAAGTAGAAGAAGTTCGCGACGCCTTCCCTGACCTCGTCAGCTGCACGGATACCTCAGCTCAGAGTACCACCTCCGGAGTCCTAGAGCACCGCACGTATAAATGTCTATGCGGCAGTTCATGCACCGCTTTGACGCCGAAACGGCAGCCCAGACAGGCAGCCCGGAAATGTACAGGGTGATCTTAAAGACGACATTGAGTCTGCGTACAGTTTCCGGAGTTAGAAGATATATTGCGACGGCATGCAGTGCAACGAGAACGGCAGCAGCAGCTGCAGACGGAGATTCAGTCTCTCAACAGAGTTCTTGAGGCCAGCGAGCAGCGCGTCAAGGAGACAACAGACAGCCTGGCCGCTGCTACCAGCTTGCGTGTCTCGACGAAGCCCGCAGTGTCCCTGGCCTCTGTCATAACAGGTCTCCAGGTAAGCAAGGAAGACGTAGCACCAGTTTGTGCCAGCAAAGTAGGAAATATTGTATAACGCGGAATGCCGTATGGTGAGCAATTTTTCCTTCGGTATATAGTTGTATGTTAATAATTGCATTTTTGCTGTTCGCATTCTTGCTAGAGCGGTAGATTATGCTAACTGAGAAACTCAAGGGACTACAAGCGCCCTGCATTGTCGAGTGCCAGGTGCTCCTTTGCTGCTCCCCATGCAGGCTGAGTTGAAGCAGCTGGAGGTCCGAGCAGCTATACTCCGGCACGCATCGATGCAGGTAGCTTGCTGCAAACGCGGTGCTGCTGCAGGAAGTAGCTTCAGGATCTGCAGCGTGTGGAACTAAAAAAGACGCCCAAGGAGCAGCTCCTTCCCTCTGCACTGCTGCGGTTGTTACTACTCTGGGTGTGCGCAGGCGCAGCCTGATCCTGCTACAGAGGCAGTAGAGGACTCTGAAGAAATTCCTACACTGGACTGATGGGCTGTTTAAAGACGGTGTTTGGTGTTCTCCTGTCCCCCACAAGCTGTCTATTTCTGCCCTAGTATACCGAACAGATGCTTATCTAAATCACGATACACCAGAGCAGATGCCCATACTAAGGGACATAAACCAGATCAAACAGTCCTTGAGATAGGTTTATGCGCATGTCTCTCTAGGCCGAGATGCACTAGGACTCATACTTTTAGCAACAGTTGAACCCTTGCTTGCTCCCGACCTGAGCTGCCCCTAGTAGCCCACTCTTGCAGTCTGCTGCAAGCAGAGGTTTACCCGCTAGGCGTGCTGAGAGGCCGTCTATCTATTCAGTCATATAACCTAAAGGGAGCAGCGCGTTATGCCCTTCTGAGTTTGTTGAGTTTAGTTTCAATGCAAAAGTCGATGCTGGTGAAAGAGAACGGCAGAATGATATTTTATGCTGGTCAGTTGCCGCTGACACAGTAGAAACGCAAATGCGTGTCTGGAATCAGTTCCAAAGGGGCTCCCTAGCTAATTAACCCAGCCCTTCCCTTAGGAATGTAGGTGTGGAAGGGCTGGTTGTGGCAACGGACTGTTGCAAAACCTAAGCTGCTGCTCATAGCCCCGATGCAGAACCTGAATTTACTAAAAAGACAAAACCTTAATACCTTAAAAGCGACGTTAAATATACACATTTTTAACTGCATTTTTTTTTACAGGAGAGAATTAACTCACGCAGTAACCGCAGGGGCACTTTCTTGAATTGCCATGGGGCGGTTTCCTTGCTGCCCTATATCGTGTGCATTTCCTTCATTAGCAACCACTAACTACCTCTAAATTCCCTACAACGGGCACACCTTACTGTTGCAGGAAGGCAAACCGGTGCAACCTGGAGACAGGGCAACACCGGGAACCGACTCCCTTCGACGGCCTTAGCTGCGCTGTGCCTCGCTTACGAGGAGTGAAGAAGCCCCAAAACATCCAATGGGTTGAGCCACAATTATTGACCACATTCCGTGTTTTCGAAATACAATGAAAAGTGGTGCTAAGAACACTTCATGCTAGGGCCTGCTTCTCACGGGGCCGACGAGGACCTGGAGCATTGCCCCTAGGTGGTGGTGATGGCTTCTTGCACTGTATGCCTTGATCAAATTTAGGAATTATATTGTAATAAAGGTGTGTAAGGAATGTTTAATACTGAAAAGTGGCAACAAGAGAGGCAGAATCTGCGCTGTAGCTGCACCGGCGGCGTGGGGCACAACCTCGAGCGTGGGAGGACCGTCTCGAAGCTAAACAGTATTCGACTCCCTCTTTGGTCGATTGCTTCTTCTTATTCTGCTTTTTTCATTTTGTAAAACACAAGCCCATTTGTTTTTGTTTCAGCTACTTCGTCCCTGTGGTTCCTGGTAGAGGATCCGTCATTCAGCATGGGAGGCGTTAGCGCTGCTGCAACGTTCTTCGTCTGCTCAAGGCAGACCTCGACTCATGATTTGATCTCCTCAACCATCTTTCCGCTGGAGGGCTTGTAGTTGGGGACCTTTGTTATTTACATGCTTCTGAGTTGCAGGGCTATTCCAGCTTGTGTCTTTACATAGCTGTTCATTTTCTGCCGTTGCCTTCCGACAACGCAGAACAATGGAAGGCTTTGGGCGGGGTTTAGTGCTGCTTCTGCTGCAGATGCTGCTGGGATTTACCTCAGAAGCCGCTGAAGCAGTTGTGATGACTGATCCCGTAACAGTTACAGACTTGAGTATGCAAGAACTCTCCGCTTTGACATGGGGAGACAGCGATTTAGGTGAAGATTTGCAAGGCCTCACAGGGAGCCCTTCTGCTGGAGAGGAGTATGCTTTAAGTAGCAGGCAAACGCATCCGAGCACTGGGGGAGACCCACACATCTTGGAACCTCCTGCCGAGCAGCAGCAGCACAGCAGCAGCAGAAGTAGCTCTAGTAGCAAAAGGCTGCACGCGCAAGGGGCTTCCCTGGAGAGCGTGCCTCTTCGTCGGACCCCTCTGAAGCGGCGGTTGCTGCTGCTTCTGGCTTTCGTGAGCTTCGGTGCAGCCATGTACTTCCGAGGTGTTTCGACAGGCCGACAGGGACTGCTAGAATCGTTGCGTGGCCAGGCGAGCTACGTGGGAAGGGAATATAGGACGAGTACACGAAGATCAAGACTCGAGTCACAACTGGAAAGAGCAAGAACATTGGCAGTGGAGTTCGACATGGACAGTCTGCACGCAATTCAAAATGCAGCAGAAACCCTTGCTAGCCTTTTCCGACCCTCCAACATGGAACGCGACGTGCTGTTGCTAGCGCAGCACGCACATGCAGTTGAAAACAACATACAGTACTTGATAAGCTTGGATGGTTCTGACGAGGAGGAAGATGAGGAAGAGGTGGAGCATCAGGCTGCGGCGGTGCGGGAGATGTACGAGAGTACCTCGGTGCTGTTACAACTTACCCGCACGGCACTTGCAAGAGTATGTCGTGCTGCGGATCATCGGAGAACAGAGGTGTTTCGATATGAGAATTTTTTAAATGGGGCTTATGAGGCCTCCCTGGCTGTTACGGAGGAAGGGGATGAGGCAGCTGCAGACACGCAGAACCAGCTGCTGCGCTGTGCCCGTGCTGCAGGGCAGGAAGGCTTGCAGCTGCAGCAGGTTCGGGTGCTGCAGCAGCAACTGAAGGATCGGCCTATAAAGACGGTGGCGGAAATGGCGGCGGTGCTGCAGGCAGCAGCATCAGCAGCAACAGATGCGCAATCAGCAGCAGGACGAGCAGTGCAGTTCTTAGAAAGTGGCATGCAGCATATTATGGAACTCACTCAACCAATGGGCGCCGCTGTGCGTGACCTGCAGCAGAAGACAGACTTGCTGCGTCTCTCGGAAGCACAAGCGCAGGTGTTGGTAGACCACATGACGCAGGAGGAGAAGCAGCAGCTTCAGTTTGCCCGCGAGCGCTTAGACGAAGCTATTGAGGAGCTGGAGACTGTTGAAGTAATGAGGCAAACCGTCCATAGTCCGTACACCCCAGGATCAATCAGAGATACCTTCCAAGAAATCAAAACACGTACTAGGGAGATTCGAGGAAACCTCCGCGAGATTGAGGCTTTCTTTACTCCTTTCCTTACCAAACTCTTTGCCCGCACCGGTCAAGAGCCAACGCAACCTTAGCTCACCACCACCTGCTACAGCAACAGTAGTAGCTGCAGCAGTAGGAGGAGGACGAGGAGCAGCAGTAGCAGCGAGGGGCGGCCCCCGATCTGGAGAATGCGATCCAAAATTGGCTGCTGCAGGCTCGAGCCCCCCTTTTCTGTGCAGAGGGGAACGAGGGCGAATGACGTCTGCGCGCCGTTTGGGAGCCCCAACACCATGCGTGCTGCTGCTCCATGAGCCTGCGTCTAGCAGCAGTTGCTGCTGCTGCGTAGCTCTAGGAATGGGTCCCTGCATGCTCTTGCTTTATTTTGCCGCGTATGGAAACCATGCCTCTTACGGGGGACCCAACAAAGATGTGGGGCCCAACTACGGAGTGGCAAGAAAGCAACTGATTCGCTGCCGCGTGACGACGGGGGAGAAGAGAGATAAACAACAGCAGCAGCAATGCCCTACCGCTGTTGCAGCGGGCAGGCGGAGCTGTATGTACACCGCAGTGTATGCCACACAGTGGGCGCGAGCGAGCGCGGCGTCAGCTGTAGCGGCAGCAAAGCAGACTCTCAAGCCGGTGCTTGCATGTGCGAGCACCTGGTTTCTGAAGAAGGGGAGAAGACAGATAAAGTGAATAACTCTCCGAATTCTCTTCACTTCTCCATAGGGTTGGGGAGGAAGTAAGGGGGGGGACACCGTGGTCTGCCTCTCGTCTGTCCCCATTGAAATAGTCGCGCATGAGATACAGCATCTGCATGCATGCATTCTGTTTTTCCTGTTCAGTAGGGGCAGGAGTTGCCTTCTTATTTGAGGCGTCGGTCCAAGGCCCAACGCTGCAGCCTGCCCCCTCATATTGCGTGCGTTCACGCAATGCCCGATTTGTCAGACTGTTTCGTGCCCATTGACTTTCAACAAGCGATGCGGGCATGTAATGGAAACACGTGCAACGGGTGAGCCCCGTGGTGTCCGCTCTAGCAACAGCTATGCTTGTCGTAGGCTTTTGCCTGCATTTTCTGATTTTGTTGGATCTGTTCCTTAGAATATACCCTACAAGCCCCAAATAATTGCTTCGGAGCAGCAGACTAGTACCAAGCAGGGTTTCAACTCCACAATACAGCGTGTGCTGCTAGCCCCGCCATATGCACACAGTGCATGCAATGCATGCAATACACTAAGCGCTCTGCCTCTTCCCAGCAAACCTGACTAAGACGCTCCTTTCGGAGCCCCTTGAAATCTGTTGAGGGGAGAATAAACTACATACATTACCAGCGCCACGAGCTGCAGCTAGCTGGGCCTTGTGCTGCAGCTAGCAGGCCTGCGCTGCAGCTACCTGGGCCTTGTGCTGCAGCTAGCTGGGGCGCGCTCTGTTGCTAGCTGGGGCCCGGGCTGTTGCTAGCTGGGCCCGCTGCGTAGAAGGGACAAGGGCGAAGATATCAAGTGTCAAGAATGTCTCCATTGTCTCCTCAGGAGGCGAGAGGACAGCTACTTGAGGCGCCAGTATAGGAGGGCCCCACTGTCACCTAGGGGCAGGAAACAGCAGAGCAGAGCCGCACTAGCAGCGTACTGCTGCCTGTCTCTGCATGGCTAGCGGCGGCTGCTGAAGACCCACACAAACGCCCCATTCCCCAAAAGCGGAGCAGCAGCAGCTCCGCACCCGCAGCAGCTGCTGCAGCAGCAGCAGCAGCAGCTGCTGCCTTTTCTACTGGAAAGTGAAGCCCAACTGCTGTGTTCGCGGCAACCGCACAATGCGGATGTCTATTGGCGGTATCTTTTCAGATGGACTCCAATTTTCAATTAAATCTGCGAAACAACAAGCAAGTAAGCAGACAACAGGTACTGTAGTCATACACCAATATACACTCCTGTTGCTGCTGCTCCATGCTGATGCTGCTAAGTGCTGCAACTCCCCTACAGAGCACACGCCGCCGCTATACACAGCTGCAACACGCTGCTACAGTAGACTGCAGCTGCAGAAGGTTGCTAAGACAGGCTTGCGCAGCAGGTTGCTCCGTGCACAGGTGTGGCTGACAGCAAAAGAGACACTTACAACCGCTTGTCTCATCCGGGGGGACACTTTCAAAATGCCGAAGGGCGCGTTCAAACAAACCAATTAAATTTTCTTTTTCCTGCGGCAGCAAACGCCTTGCATGCACAAATAACACTTTAACGACAGCAATACCAGGAGCCAGTGTACAAACCTTGAAAGGAGACCGAGCACCAGAGAAGAGAGAGCAGCACGTGACACAGACAAAAAAACGAACCAAAAGCTACAGTCTAAGACACTGTAGCAACACGCCGATCCTCCACCAACATAAGAACAACAAACAAGAGACAGAAAGGACAAACGAAAGGATACAGGAGGCACGGAACAGACAGCAAGCGGGACAGCACACAGAAGACAACGGGGAGAAACAAACGGAGACCGAGACAGCAAAAAGGAGACACTAGAGGAAAAAGACAAAATATGACAGCAGCAAACGACTTACTTGCTGTGAGTACCTCTTGGGCAGCACCACACGCTCCAAACCCTGCACACACACAAATGCTACACCTTAAAAACTAAACCTTCTACTGCTAAAGGATCAACGAATCCCAGCCAACGAAGACGAAGGCATCATGACATCAAAAAAGGCAGAACCCTTCAACAATGACGACGGCCTCTGCTGCTGCTGCCACTGCCATACGGCAACTGCCACACAGGTGGATCTCTAATACAAATATATGTGTAAATAATGCACTTAAATATAAGCAAAGACACACATGTATAAATGCATGCATTACACGATGCGCAACCATATATAGTGTAGTTATGAACTACAAGCAACTGCACGCACGTGCAGGCGCATGCAAGCATGCGAAATGTAAACCTGCTGCACGGAGTAGGCTTTGGGGTTGCATGCAAACCCGGTGCATCCTACATGCGCCGCATCTTACCCTGAAGCCCAGCGTGACGACGTAGATGTGCCCGTCAGTTGCAGTGTATGCTGCAAATCGCGCTGCACGCAGGCAACAGCAAACAAGCCCCAAAGCGCACACTGGACATACACCCCAACCCCTTGTCTCCTGACTGCATGCCTGCGTGCTTGCCCCGAAGTGTGCGGCAGCTGCATGTACATCCCAGATCCCACCCAAGACCATTTCACCCTTCTGCTCTACTTACGCTTAAACCATCGCGCCTGACGAGACATCTTCAGGGTCAATTCCTGCACAGCAGCAGCGACAGCAAAGCATGCGTGAGCCCCACAGAAGCTGCGGCAGGAAGAACAGCAGCAACCCGCCGCGCTCTCGACCCCCAGAAAAAAGGTAGGTGATGCTCCAGCCACCAGCCAACCCAAAACCCCAAATCCTAAACAATAAACCATAGATCTTACGTCTGCGGTGTATCTTCGGGTGCGGACTCTGACAGCGTATAGGAGGACGGCGACAGTAACGAAGACAGCCATAAGTTTGGTGGTGTCAAAGAGAGAAGCAAACCCTGCTGCCTTCCCCTTGGGTTTATTTAAAAGGGTCCTCTCTAGTCTTGCCGCTCTCATGAGTTCTAAAAGAGTAGGCCTCCCTAGCTCTGAGGAAAGACTGCTGCCATCGATAATCTCGGTATCTCCTCCTGTGCCTGCTGCTTCTCCTTCCCTCTCTAAGGAAGAAGAAGCACCTGTTCCGCTTCCCGGTTGGTCAGAGCCATCCGCTCCTGCTGCATGCAGCATCAGGTGCTGCAGCTGCAGCAGCAACAGCTGCAGCAGCAAGCAGCTACTAAAGATCCGTACGCCCCTCATCTTCTACACCACATGAGGCCAGTCCTGCGTTCCTCCTGCGCCCTGCACTGCTGCTGCTGCTACTGCGTGCAGTAGGTGCTGCTGGGGCTCCTACTGCGTGCAGTAGCTGTTGCTACTGCTGCTGCCTCTCCTCCTGGTGCTTCTGCCGCTGCACAGTGGGAGAAGCCCGTTCACCGAGGCTGCTGGTGCAACAACGGCCCCTACGCAGGAGCGTGAGCCGCCAAGTTCAAAAATCTGGTCTCTAGGATGCTGCTGCAGCAGCAGGAGCAGGAGCAGCAGCAAGAGCAGCAACAGGACGCTGCTGCAGCTATGGGGGGGCCAAGCAGCCTCGGAAGCAGGCCTCGGGCTGCAACGCGAAGCCGCAGGCCCTCCTGTTATTCTCCTTTATTTTTATATCCTTGAGATTCTATGAAAGCCCGGAGGGGACCCCCAAAAAAACCCCAATAGAAGAAGCAAGGCCACGGGGGGCCCCTATGCTGCTACGGAGCCGGGAGCAGCAGAAGCAGCTGTTGCTGCAGCTTGACAAAAAGAAGGATTTAAATCATTAATAATATAACAGAACAAACTATAAACACATCCAACAACCATATGCAGCAGCCGAGAAAGTACAAAAGCCATGACAAGGCCTTCGGCAATCCTGTGAGGCCAAGGCGGGCCCCAGCCCTGCTGCTGCTGCTGCTGCTTGTTCTGCTCCTGAGCGGTCTTTGATTTGCTGCAGCAACAGCTGGCAGCTCCTTAAGTCGATTAGTCAATACAATAACATCTTGTTCACATATTAATCAGAAGAAGTAAACGACAAAAGCGAAGGGAGCTGCCACCCTTCAACCGTAAACCACAGTGTAACGTACAAGAACCCTACTCCCGTGACCTTAGGGTTCTGGGGTGTCTGCTCAGCCTACACTACCAAGTATACATACACCGAAGAACCGATTGCTTCCTGTTTTTGGGGACCTAAGGGGCAACACCAAAGTGCCCCGAAGGGCCCCCGAGCACCCTTTGCAAGCATATGGCATAGGAACCCCCGAGGGGAGAATGATAACCCCTACCTGCACCGATTGTGCCACTGTTAGCTGCAGCTGGCCCCAGTTATCTAGCTGTAGTTAGCACCATATGGCTACAACATGCTGGAGTTGGCTTTATCTAACCACCACCAGGGCACTGGCACCGAGCAAGCAAAGTGCTATGGTGTAAAGGGACCTTCCATTGCAGAGAGCAAAAAATGCAAAAGTATAAAAAACAAGGAATAAAACAAGCAGAAAGAGTGCCTTCTTTTGCGGTCTCAGACAGGGGACTTGCTTCCTGTATTATACCCTTTATTAAACCCTTTACCCTGTAGCCGCGTGTATAGCCGCTTCCAACCCTAGACCCTAAACCCGTCAGTGCCTAACCCTATACAGATTTTATGTAGTTTCTTCTTGGGGACATGCTGCTGAAGCAGCAGGAGATACAAGGAGTAGACAACGCGGCATTCTTAACTACTAGGACTTCAGATGCAACCCTGAGCCGTAAGGGGCATCTCCAAAGGATTTTCCCTTCTACATCCTAAGCCTTAGACCCTAAGACATTGGAAACGCACCCCCTAAGGATGGTAGAGCCCTAAGGATGGTAGCCTTCTTAAAAATCTGAGAGCATCTACTACGTGGGGTACGTGTGCTGTAAGGGGCAGGGAGGGAGAGGGCCCCACCGCTTCTTCCACAACTTGGGGCCCCTCTTTGCAGTGATACTATACACGGGGGGCCCCTTTGGCATTAAGGGATGAGCGTTGCAGGAGCTGCTGCTGCAGCAAGCAGCGCATGCTCGGCAGAAAGGTGTACTAATATGTTGTTTAAATGCAGAGGAATACATGGCAAATGTCAACAATTCTGTTATGCTAGATATAACATCCGAGAAAAAACAAAAGAGGGGCCCTCTATACGGGGCCCTAAGAAGGGACCCTTCAAAAAAGGGTACTAGTGGGGCCCCAAAACTCCAGAAGAGGGCTCTTTCGAGGTGCCCCCAAAGGGCGGGGCCCCAAGAGGGGGCCTCAAAGAGGGCGGCCATTGTACTTAGTATGTTTTGAATGTTAAGACCTCTTCTTGGTCTATACCCAGGTAGTTGTCACTGCATAAGTAAAGAGAGAGAGAAAATATCTCCCCCTTCTCCTCCGGAGCAGAAAACCTGAACAGAGCACGTACACCATAAGCCCTAGGCCCTAATCCATAAACCCTGAGCCCTCCTGCGCGAGACAAGCACTGTAAACCGTAAACCCTTAATGCCAAACACTAATCCCTCAAGGACGAACTCGAGAGTCAATTTGGTGCGACCAGAAGGACGCATGCGCACGCGGCGCAGAGCAACAAGTTCATCTGCCGCCTCATCAGGGTCTCCCAAAACCACAAACCTGTACGCACAACGTAAACCCTAAACCTTAAACCCTAAACCCTAAGCTGCCACGGCGATGCTCTGAATCGTGAGGCAAATGACGCAATGCCACACCGCATCGACCCCCAGTACTATTATCCCGCCACCCAAAGCGCCAAACCCTCAGCACTAAACCCTTAAACCTGAAACCCCACCAGTTGGAGAGACGGCCAGACTTTGCTGCCTTTCCGGTGGCCCCTCCCCCTGCAGCGGGCTCTAGGGACCTCAGGTGGATCTCCAGCTGCAAATCGGCTCCTGCAGGGACTAAGAACGCCCGGATAGGCTCTCCTGCAGCAACAAAACACCAGTGGCAGTAGCTGCGGCTGAACCAGGTGAGGGATGCGTGCCTTCTGGTGAGCAGCAGCTGCAGGAGCAGGAGGGGCAGCAGCAAGAGGTACCGTCTGGTCCTTGAAGGACTTGGAGTTCTAGCTGAGTGAAGATGATATCTTCTTTCTCTTCTGCTGCGTCGTCCAGGTTTGCTCCATCAGCTTCACCCGCTCCTGTGTCTGCTTCTGCTGCAGTAGGGTCTGCTGTTGCTGCTGCTGGTGTTGCTGCAAAGAGGAACCACCGCATTCGCATGCGCGGTATGCGGGAAAGTGCAGACAAGACGTCATTTACTTCTGGCGGCTGCAAGCCAGCACGACTCAGAGCAATGGACGCATATTTGTTCTCCAGCAGCTGCACAAACAAACACCAAACCCTCAACCCGAATTGCCTTGTAGCGGTCTTAGACCCTCGCCCGTTACATTGCACCAACGCCCCTGTTTGCAGGCGCCGCTCCCACCGTCCCCGACTGTTCCTAACCTGACCCCTGAACCGCAACTCACGTGAGCAAGGGAGAGGATCCCTTGTTGTTGCAGTGCTGCAACTACCGCATCTGTAATGCGGGGTAAGCAGAAGAGACTGTTGCGCGCAGGGTGGGTTGCGCTGCGTATACACTGAAGCAGCAAGATGATGTACAGCGCATACTGCAGCTGCGCCTCCTCTGCTGCCACGTCGATCATAGCCTGCAAACAGAGACACCCGATACCCTGAACAATTAAACTCACGTTTGCCTATAGTAATATACACGAATATATGGCAGTAAATCCCGTCCCGTCGATATAGAGTGGCAGCAGGAACGTCAGCGACACCCGCATCGCTAGGAGCATCATCATCATCATCAGCAACAGCAGCAACAGCAGGAGCCTACGTACCTGTATGATACGCATGGAGTTATCAATGGCACTCTTAAGGTCCGTATAATAATCTGTAATAGGGAAAGGAAGTTGGAACAGACGAGCCTGCAGCAGCAAGAATGTCTTCGTGTGGGGACTCTCAAAGCCAGCCCCCAATACTGGCAAGGGACAAATACGAGCTAACTCCGCATTATGAATCTCCTCGTTGTGTCTGCAACAAACCGAGCAGAAACGTCAGCAGGAGCACTGTTGGAAGCAGCACAAGAGTCCCACATGCAGCTATAACAGCAGCACCTGCAACAGCATCAGCAGAAGTTGCAGCACCACCAGTTGAAGCAGTAACCGCAGTAGCAGTTGCAGCAGCAGCAGCATGAGGAGGCGTACCGAAGTGGCATTTGGCTGAATTCTTCCGCGTCAGTGAGAAGTCTGAAGATATCAATAAAGGACAGAGGAGAAGCATCGACTTGCATTTTATCGCTTATTCTTTTTGCTGTTTGTGGCTGAATATAATAAAAAGAAGCAATTCTTCCTAAAGGAGTTGCCTCTATAATAGGCTCAAATGCCTGCTGCTGGTCCTTCTCCTGCTGCTGCTGTTTCAGCACAAGGCGGAATCCCGTAAGCTCCTCTCCAGGCTTGTTGTCTTCTGCTGCTCCATCTGCTGCTGATGCTGCTGATGGCTGCTCCCATGGCTCAGGGAGACGTAAAGAAATACAACCAAGTTCAATTAAAGAATCAAGGGAAGAGTTTACAAGACGATCTACAAACTTGGCAATAAAAGCTCGACGTCTCTCTGCTGCTGCTGCACCTCCTCCCCTAAAATCCTCGGCAAGTAACTCCGAGCTATAGTAACCAGGGTTAGCAGCCAAACGTCTGATACACAACAAACACACTAAACCCTAAACCCTAAACACTACACACGAAATGGCTGCACTGCACACACTAACCCAAGTGCAAACCCTAATTAACACATCCACTGATCCGCAAAACCCTAAACCCTAAACCCTAAACTCCAAAACCTAAATCTTACCTAAAGAAGTACGTCCAGCTGAGATAATCAACGGCCATGCTTTTGGTGCGAATAGTGCCGGCGACGATCTCTGCATTGAGATGCTCAGCGAGGCATAGATGGAGACAAGATTCAACAGGAAAAGGAGAATAAAGAAATCGCTTGAGAAAACCCTTTTTACTTTCTTGACAGAACACCACTGCCACCGCCTGCCTGTCAAATTGAGGACGACCAGCACGGCCAATCATCTGCACAATACACACAAACACACATTGCATGCATGCATGGGTTTTCATGCATGCACGGGTCTGCATGCGCGCATGGGTCCAGTGTATGCATATATACACGTATGCATCCAGGGCTGGTTAACGATTCGGAGCCTTTAACGGCTTGCCCAAGGTTAGGCATAACTCGAGATTGGGGCTGCATGCGAATATAATGTTTGCACGCATGTACGCATGCATGCATGCATGCGGTGGAGTTGAGCCTACCTGCAGAATATCTGTGACGGGCATGTCGGTGTAGCGCTTTGTTTTACCGTCAAAATATTCCGTACCCTGCAGCAACAGAAAAAGAACACATAATCCATCTTTTGCTGCTTCTGCTGCTGTTGGTGCTGCTGCGGCTGCCGCTGCAGGAGTGGCAGCATCGCATGGTGCCTCTATTGAAGGAAGCCCCAAAACTGCTGAAAAGCCGAAGCCTAAACCCTAAACCCTACCCAAAGCCCTTTATGCTTCACACCCTAAACATCCAGAATTTCACAGCTATAACCTAGGCATGCACTCATGCATGCATACAGGCATGCATGCATACACAGGTGCATGCATGCATGGAAGTACGTAATTACCTTAATGATGACGAGTCTAGCGGGAAGGTTAAGACCCCATGCAAGCGTAGCAGATGCGACCATGACACGAACCAAACCTAAAGCGAAAAGATGAGCAGCAATGTTGCGATCTCCTGGTGGTAAACCCGCGTGGTGTATAGCCACTCCATGCAGCAACACAGAACGCAAGGTTGGGTCCTGCAAAGACAAACAACAAACCCTAAACCCTAGACCCTAAAACCGTGAACACTAATCCCTGGACCGAATAATCGCAAATTATATAATATGGTATCTATATTAGGGTTTAGTGTTTAGTGTTTAGGGATTGTACCTTGACTTTTTTGAGGGCTTTTGCATATTCTGCTTTCTGTTCCTCGGTGTAAAGACAAAGAAAAGCAACAGCATTATCATGCATGTGTTGCAGTGCGATTAGCTCGCGAGCAGTTAGACGTGTTTGTCGCCTAGAAGCGACGAAGACTAGCACGGGCCTGAGCTTTGCTGCTGCTGCAGCAGCAGCAGCAGCAGCAGGACTAGGGGTACCAAGACCACCAGCAGCGCCAGAAGCAGCAACAGGAAGAATAGTCTCGTTAGAACTATAAACCCCCTGTCTCCCATCAAGGACACAGTCTCCTGGTCCTTCTACAACTGCATGCGTCATCATTGCATCAAATGCAGGTTTATTCATTGCTGCCATGCGAGGACAAAATGCCTTTTGAGCAAATCCTGCATGCATGCACAGACACCCCACAAACCCTAAACCCTAAACCGTAAAGAACATTTTCCCGTTCCCTCCTGTCTCATTCGCCTCTCCCCTGTCTGCCTGTAACCACTTGCTCCCGTGGGCTGTCTGCAAGAACGCCAATAATGTTGCATGCATGTGTGTGCTTATAGTATATACATACCGGCAACATGGACAGTGCAAGGTACAGGGCGGACAGCAGGACGGAAGCTGAATAGTCCTACAGATCCAATACCTAACCAAGCGGCAATATCTTCTGCATTGGCTAAGGCGGTAGAAAGCCCCATAAAACGCATGCGGAAGCCCCAATGACTGCTGACGTAACGCATGCGACTCACCAGGGCTTCTAATACAGGACCTGCATAAAAAAGACACATTTTTATTTACATATAAATAAGTAAATAATAATAATAATGATTAATAACAGTAGTAATGATAAAAAATAAATGTATAAAGAAATAAATATAAAGAAATAAATACACAAATAGGAGCAAACAAAGACAGGAAATGAGACAGGCGACAGATAAACGACAGGTAAGAGTTGTCAGATAAAAGGAGACAAATAAAAGGAGACAGAAGAAATAAGACGTACCTCTTTCTTGTCCTAGTAAATGTATTTCATCAATAATAAGGAGACGAACTTTAGAGACAAAATGTTTAATTTGCCATTGTCTGGATATACCATCCCATTTCTCTGGTGTACATATAAACAGATTAGTCCTATTAAAGTCAATATTATTATACATACCCCCTCCTGCTCCTTCTCCTTCTCCTTCTTCTTTGTATCCCTTACAATCATCATAATCATAATCATCTTCTTCTTCTCCTCCTCTTTTATTAAATGTATAACTAAAACTATCTCCTTCCTCATCATCATCAGCAGTAAGTTGTTGTATTTGTAGACCAAGAAGACGTTGGAGTCTCTGCCTCCAATCTTTTAGTCTTTCTGCTGCTAATGCCTTAAGAGGAGCAATATAAACAATTTTTGTATTTTTACCAAATTGTTTATAACAACGTAGTATAGCTAATTCAGCAACTATTGTCTTACCGCTACCTGTAGGGGCCCCTAGTAAGACATTATAATCTGTATAATAGCATACATGGAATACTTGGGACTGAATAGGATTAAAATAAGAAAAAGGATATAAGGATTCAAATCGGCTATCTCCTAGTGCTGATACAGGTATAGGATGTATATGTAGTAATGGTGTTGCTGCTGCTGCTGCTGCACCTTCAGGAGATAATACTTGGGATGCAGCAAAGGGGTATGATGTAGATACTCCTATCCATCTATCACTAATTATATCCAAGACAAATTGTGTCTGTGATGAAGGATCATGTAAGGGAACAGCAAATTCTATCTTTTGTTGCCACCTCTGCTGCCGCTGCTGCTGCTGCTGCTGCTGCTGCTTTTGGTGATGATGATGGTGACGCGGTTGCTGATGCTGACGACCTAATAAGACTGTCTCCTGATGCAGCAGACGCCCTGTGTCTGCCTCGGATAGCCATACATGAAAGAATTCCCCTTTACCATGAATAGATTCATTAAATATAAAATCAGCAATAAAGGAGACAGAGACAGATACACGAATAATATGTCTTGTTATTGCTGCTACATGTACACTACAATCTACTAAAGGTACATATCTTAATGCCCTGTATACATCCTCCCCATCACTCTTGCTGCTGCATATTTGCTGCAATTCCTGCAGAGACAGAGACAGCAATCTCTCAAGAGTAAATCGCATCCTCTCTACCTTTACTGCTGCTTGTAGTCGTACAAGTCCCCTATGATGTGGTCTCCTTCCTCTTTGCTGCTGCTGCACTCCCTCGTCCTGCTGCAAACCATCCGGCTGTTGGTGCTGCTGCTGTTGCTGCTGCTGGTAAGATCTCCTTTTTTGTGGATCAGGAGAGAAGCAATAAGGATTAACAAAATGACGAAGAACGCATGCATCATGCCAGAAGCCCCGTTCTAATGCCTTAGAGCATTCAAGAAGGAGAGCAGCTTCCTCTGTCCTCCCTACTATATCCGTAAGGGAAGCAGTAAGAAGAGCACGAGATAGACGTGTACAATTAGTATATATATAATGAGCATCAGCAGCAAGAGAAGATGTAGATAAAGATATATTAGATAAACATGCCTGTAGTAATGTTACTACCTTACAGCAGACACTATCTGTGTCTCCTTTGTATTTAACTCTGCATATATTATTATTACTACGTAAGGAATCTAATTCTTGTATCTCTTCTTTTCTTACACGTAAACTAGAAAAATCTTTTGCTTCCCCTATTAACATAAAAAATTTTAATATATTTATTTCTCCTATAGATAGACCTCTAGCGAAGCTCTCTGCTGTCTCGTAGTCAATATAGAAACGTGCAGCAATTCTTCCTAGGTCTGTAGCATCTAGTCTTCCTGTTCTGCTATGGTAGCGTAATAGTTTGCTGCTATTTAGTCTTGCTGCTGCAGCACGAACAAGAGCTAATCGTTGTTGTAATAATGATGGATCTTCGCCTTCTCTCCCCCCTGCTGCTGCGGCTGCTGCTGCTGCTGCACCTGCTGCTGCACCCGCTGCTGTCGTTGGAACACCAATTGCTGCTGCTGCAGCACGATTATGCAATAAATGGGGCTGAGCTTGCATGCGAGCAAATAAGAATGTATACTGTAACCATTCAGCTGCATCAGCAATAGAGGATACAGATCCAAGAGCAACCTCTGCATTAAGAGCATTAGGTAATTGCAGCAAAAGTTGCGAATCAACAGGAAGAGATGCAGATAATAATTGTATATATTTAGGTGTCTTATTTAATTCCCCTATTAAGTATGCCTCCCCTATTGAATCATATTGTGGTCTCCCTGCTCTACCAAATATTTGGCATACATCTAGGAAGCCAATATCTTTTTCTTTTCCTTCTTCTTGTGAATATATTTTTGTACCTTTTATTATAACACAACGTGCAGGTAAATTTACTCCCCATGCTAGTGTTGCTGTGCAGCATAGGACCTTAACAACACCAGCAGCAAATAGGGAGCAAGAGAGCTGTCTATCGCTACGTAACATGCCTGCATGGTGTACAGAGAACCCTTGAGGTACTAAACATTTTAATTCTTTATAGCTGCTGCTGCGCTGCAGTTGTAGGAGTAGCTGCTGCTGCTTCGTAGTTGGATGTGTTGCTGCTGCACTAAATAAACCTTGCTGCTGTCCCTCTAATGCTGCAGCCATACGGGATAATGCTGTTGCTGTCTCTACTGTCCCTTGTCTTGAATGTACAAACACCATTGCTTGGTGTCCCCTTCTTACTGCAGATAATACTGCAGCAAATGCTGCTGTATTCATTGCCTCGTTCTGTTTGCTGCTGTCTTTTGTCTTTATACCCACAAATGTTTGCTCTAAGGGGACAGGGCGGCATGCAGGCCCAAAATAAAATGCATGCGCAGGTAATATACGCAAAAATGATGCAACTTCCCTCCTATTATATAAATAAATAAGGAAAAACAAACAAACAAACAATCACACACACACACAGACATAAAACAATAAATAGAATAATAGCAACAATAGTAAGGGTTTTGTCTTTAGGGTTTAGGGTGTACTGTTCAGTCTTTATAGTGTCAACTCTTTTGTGTTTATTCTTCATAGTTTATTCCTTAGTATTTATTACTTGGGGTTTAGGGTTTAGGGTTTATGATTACCAGTTGGGTAATGTAGCAGATAGAGCAACAAATCTTGTAGGTGTCTGTCTCCTTTCTGAGTGTCTAAGGAGACGAGCAACAAGGGCCTCAATGACGGGGCCCCTTGACTCATTAAGAAGATGTACCTCATCAATAATAAGACATTTAATAACATCAAGTAGACTACCGCTGCTGCTGCTGCTGCTGGCAAAAGTGTCTCCTCCTCCTCCTCCTCCATCTGTAGAGGAGACAGCTAATACATTACGTGTTAATACATCTAATTTCTCAGGTACAGCAACAAAAATATGTCCCCTTTCTATTGCCTTCCTATCTAATGTTATATCTCCTGTTACTTCTTCTACTATTACCCCTAAGGGACTTAATGCCTTAGACAATTTTATTGTTATTTCTGTTGCTAAGGATTTTAATGGTGCTATATATACTGCCTTAAAGTGTGTCCCTGATGGTGGAGACCAATCCACCACACTGCTGCTGCTGTTGTTGTTGTTGTTGTCGTTGGTGGTGTCGGCCGCGGCGGTGGTACTGCTGCTGCTGCTGCTGCTGCTGCTGCTGCTGGTGTTGCTGCGGCGGTCTCGGTGCCCTTTATGACCCTTTAGGTGCCTATGCTCATTAAGTTGCTGCAGTAATGCCATTAATGCTATGTTTGTTTTACCACAACCAGTAGGGGCACAAACAAGAAAAGAAGAAGAAGATAAAAAGGCAACAGGATATACAACACTTTGTCTTGCATTCAGTGTCTCTACACCAGCAAATGCTACTTGAGCATATGCAGGTAAGGAGGATATCGGCACCAACGAACTCGTCTCCACCTGCAGCAGCAGCAACAGCAGCAACAGCAGCAGCAGCAGCAGCAGGAATAGCCATTATCGTTATATCAACATGTCACTGATCCCATGCTGTTGCTCTTGCTGCAGCTGCTGTTGCACCTCAACAGCAGCAGCACCCGAGGCAAACAGCAGCAGCAACAACAGCAGCAACAACAGCAGCAGCAACAACAACAGCAGCAGCAGAAGAATTCACTTACAGGAGCAGGTTTAGGAGGTGGTATAAAGACCTCGAAGGTCTCTGGTGTATCTTTAATACGCGCACCCTCGGGGAGACAGTTGCGTATACCCCGACGAGGAGACAGGAGACAGGCTGCATCTATAGCATCTATTGCTGTATACAAGAGACACAAACCCTAAACCATAAACCCTAAACCCTAAACCCTAGGCTCTAAACCATAAAATTTGAGTGCTGAGTCGTTAAGGGTATATTGGGGGGTTGTGCAACACATGACACACGAATACCCTCGTGCTGCTGCTGACGATTCTAAACAGGAGCAACTGCAGCAGCAGCAGCAGCAGAAGCAGCAGCAGCAGGAGGCCTACGGGATTGAGGGGGTTTAGGAGGTCTAAGAAACCCTGCAACTACAAGGGCCCCCAATAAACCACGGGGGGCCCCTGATTGTCCTGTGGCCCCGTTGCCTTTACGGCCTTTGCTAGATGCAAACTTAACCTGAAGCAGCAGCAGCAGCAGCAGCAGCAAACGCAGCAGCAGAAGCATGCAGATGCAATAATAAGCCAATAGTAGAAACAGGTAGAACTGCAGAAGAAGGCAGCAGCAGCAGCAGAACCAACAGCAGCAGGACTCACCGAAGCTCCAATTAAGGTGGGCCCTCTCCTCTTTTGCTGCTGCTGCTGTTGCTGCTGCTGCTGCTGCTGATTTTCTATAGAGACCTGGAGCCTTGCTGCTGCATCAACTAATTCTGCCCCTCTTGCTGCAATCTTATGAACAGCAGCAACACTCGAGGGGCCCAGCAGCTGCAGCAGACTGTCAGAGACTGCTGCTGCTGCTGGCGTTGCTGTTGCTGAATCTGTTGCAGCAGCTGCTGCTTCTGTGTTCTCGTGAGCAGCAGCAAGAGTGCTTAACACAGCAGCCATGAGCTCTGAGGGGACAAACAGCAGCAGAGACAAATAAGCAGCAGCTAAAGAGACACAGAGACACTAGCAGCAGCAGCAGCAGCAGGAAAACGGAGACACACAACATGCGGAGACAACCGGCATGGTAACAGGAGACAGAAGGAGGCAAAAAGGAGACAAAAGGAGACAAGAGGGGACAAAAGGAGACAAAAGGGAGGCAAAAAGGATACAAAAGGAGACAAAAAACGTCTTAATACCTGCGGTGTCCCTGCAAACAGGCACCAGCTCTTCAGGGACTTCCGGCTGCTCCTGCTGCTGCTGCTGCTGCTGTTGCGGCTGGTGCTGCTGCTGCTGCTGCACCTTTGCTTGGGCAGCAGGACCACCAGCAATGTCCCAACAGAGACGGTGTAGCCATGGCAGGGGCTCCTCCTCTTGCTGCTGCTGCTGCTGCTGCTCCTGCTGCGTCCCCCACTGAGGCAAAGTAAGCCCAGGAGGGGGAGAAGCAGCAGCAGATTCTGCAGCAGCAGCAGCAGCAGCAGTTGCAGGTCTTCCGTCCTTTGCAGGAGGCAGCACACGGCAACGTACAGGGGGAGGCTTGGGCGCTGCACCACACAGCAGCAGTAACAGCAGCAACAGCAGCAGAATGAACAGCAGCAGCAGCAGCAAGAGCAGCAAGAGCCGCAGCAGCAGCTAGCTGTGCAGCATGGATTTTATGAGTATTTCTGTTCTGCTGTATGTGCCTCCTTTGTGTCTCCTTTTCGTGTCTCTTTTATCTTGCTGCTGCTGCTGCTGCTGCTGTCCCTTACGTGCAGGTTTCTTGACGCTGCCTCGCTGCAGCAGCAACGTGAGGTTTTGCTGCAGTTCTGCTAATACTGTCCTTGCTGCAGCACGAGGTGTCTCCTCATCTACTGGTATGTCCCTTAGTAGGCCCTCTAGGGGTGTCTCCTTCTTAAGGATACCAGCAGCAGCAATCCGTGCTGCAGCAGCAGCAGCAGACAAGGAAGCATCACCAGGAAGCAGAGAGGAGACATCTATCCCTGCAGTTGCTGTGTCCTCTTCCTCATCCTGCTGCTGTTGCTGCAGCTGCTGCAGATGATCCACCCCCTGCAACTGCTGCTGCTGCTGCATTTGCTGCTGCTGCTGCAGACGCCAAGCAGTAAACAGCTGCATGTCTGCTGCAGCAAGTCTCCTTACGCAACAAATAAGACGAGTTGCTTCTATAGGGCCTAGAGCAGGCAGCACTTCCCCAATGGTCTCCATTGCTGCTGCTGCTGCTGCTGCTTCTCCTGTTGTTGTTGCTGCTGCTCCTCCTCCTTGAGGGTCAGCAGCACAAGGAGGGGCCCTCCCCCCCTCCGTAAGTATATCATATAAAAGGGCAGAGGAGACACCTAATTCAAGTGTCCCCTCTAAACCCTCGGAGACACAGCAGCAAAACCCCCTAAACAGCAGCAGCACAGGGTCTGCAGGGTCTTGTCCCTCAATGGGGGCCCCCCCACTGGGGGCCCCCCAATAAGGAGGAGGTGTAAGGGTCTGAAGTGCCTTATCTGCTGCTGCTGCTGCTGCTGCAGAGGAACAGTAATTAGATAAGGAACAAGTTGCATGCGTACAAGACAAAAGTGTCTCTATAGAGGAGACACCCTCATTAAGGAGACCTGCTAGTCCTGTTTGCTGCAGCAGAGACATTTGCTGCAGCACTGCTGCTGCTGTCTCCTTCTGGAAGCGCCATGGACCCATAGGTATGGTAGCATCCCTTTCAGTTGCTGCTGGTGCTGCTGGTGCTGCTGGTGCTGCTGCTGGTGCTGCTGCTCCTGCAGCTGACCATGGTGATGATGATGTGCTGCTCCCATACACGCTGCTGCTGCTGGAGCTTGAGCTGCTAGGACTGAATTTGCTGCTGGTGCTGCCGCCATAGCTGCTGCTGCTGCTGCTGACGCCATAGCTGCTGCTGCTGCTACTGCCTCCATAGCTGCTGCTGCTGCTACTGCCGCCATAGCTGCGGCTGCTGCTACTGCCGCCATAGCTGCTGCTACTGCTACTGCCGCCATAGCTGCTGCTGCTGCTACTGCCGCCATAGCTGCTGCTGCTGCTCCCATAGCTGCGGCTGCTGCTGCTACCCCCGTAGCTGCTGGTAATGGTGGTGGTGGTGGTCGTGGTGGGGACGGGTAGCAGCCTAAAGGGATCGCTATGTTGGCTAGGCTGTTGCTGCTGCTTCTGCTGCTGCTTTTGCTGCTCTTTCTCGTCTTGCTGCAGCTCGCGAGCACCAGCAGGGTCAAGACGCTGCAGCAGCCGCCAGCGCACACCTCCCCCTAGAGGCAAGGGAGTTGGTGGATCCATGGGGCCCTTGAACCCTAAACCCTAAACCCTAAACCCTGAAATTAAGGGGCCCTAAGGGCCCCACGCAGGGTACAGACTGCTGCTGCTGCAGTGCTCTGCTGCAGCCGGGTACAAAATACAAATAACACTAGAACCTAAACCCTAAACCCTAAACCCTAGAATGAATAAAGCCAAAGAACACAACACCTGCTGCCACACAGAAACATAAATGTGCTGCAGTTCAATGCAGCACGGGGGCCCCTACGGAACTAAGGGGGGGGGGCCCACGGGGGGCCCCCACGAACCCTCATCGTTCAATGAACCCTAAACCCTAAACACTAAACCGTAAACACTAAGAAATAAACCATAAACCCTGATACAATCATTGATTAGTATGTACAGCCGACTGTGAGCAATCCAATGTGCGGGTTTCAATCTACCATTAAACCCTAAACCCTAAACCCTATATACTCTAAACCCTAAACCCTAAACCCTGATTCTCTATATAATAAAACTTGTGAACTGACTACTAAGGTTTGTAGCATATTTAAACACAGTAATTCATACATTAATTCCTTACTTAATCAAAAACAGGAACCCAAACCCTAAACCCTAAACCCTAAACACTAAAAGCTAAACCCTTCTGCTAGCCTTAAACCCTCCTCTCTACACACACATTGAAAACCTCAGAAAAAGGGATGAGGATAAGAAGGGCCCCCCTAGCAGCAACGCACGGGGCCCCCAGTTGCAGCTTAGGGGACCCCTAATAGCAGCAACGTTGTAGTGAGCCCCCAGCAGCAGCAACGTAGTAGCGGGACAAAGCAGCAGCAACGTAGTAGGGGGCCCCAAGAAGCAGCCACGTAGTAGGGGGACCGCAGCAGTAGCAACATAGGTTTTAGGGCTGCGTTGCTGCTGCTGGGGGGCCCCAGCAGCAGCAACGTGAGGCCCCCCGTTTACCTGTCCCCTCCCGTTAGAGTCTCCGTTTACCCTGTCCTTATCTCTCTATGTCCCTTCCTTGTGTGTCTTCTGTCTCCTTTTAAGAGGGAACACTTCTGCCTCTAGACTAAGCTTTGGGGGCCCCTAATCTCTTTGACTACAGGGGCCCCCTTCTTACACCTCTCGGGGTATTGAGGCCCCCACCCCCCCTCTCCCCTTACTCAAAGTACCTTCTCCCTCTTGAGTCTTTAAGGAAAAACTATTACGGTCTGTTTAAGCCTTGGGGGCCCCCTTAAGGCCTACTAGGGGGTCCGTCTAAAAGGAACCCCTTTTTGGCTGTTCAGGGGGCCCCCAGGGGGCCCCCTTTTGGCCTATAAAGGGGCCCCTTTAATACTTATCATTGGGGCCACCATTAGGGTATTAAGGGACCCTTATAAAACTTCTTAGGGGGCCCCGTTAAGAACTTCTTAGGGGCCCCTTTAAAACAACATACAGGGGCCCCCTTTAGCTGGGGCCCCTTGTATCATATTCCAGGGGGCCCCCCTGGCCCTGTCAAGGGTTTATGGGGGCCCCTAATAAGGGTCTAATTAGGGTTTAATTAGGGTTTATAAGATAATAGTTTGTTTAGGCTTAAGTTTTTGCTTGCTGCGTGCTGCAGGGTTTAGCTGCTGCTGCTGCCCATGAAGGAAGAAGGAAGAACCATCAGCAAGCAGCAGCAAGAAGACGCAGCAACTCTTAGGGACACGACGCAGATAACCGTCAGCACACAGCAGCAGCAAACACTGCAGCAGCAACAGCAGCAGCAACGACAGCAACACACACAGAAAACCGTAAGCCCTAATACCCTAAACCCTAAACACAAACAGGAAACACTGCAACAGCAGCAGCAAACACTGCAACAGCAGCAGCAAACAGTACAGCAGCAGCAGAAGCAAAGAAAGGAGTGCAGCAACACCAGCAGCAGCAACAGCAGCAAAGGATCTCCGTATCCAAAACAACTAGTGCATCTTAAACCCCAAAGCCTAAACCCTAAACCCTAAACCCTAAACCCTAATTACCTGTTGTGTATCAAGAACAACAAGACCTGCAAGACCGCATAAGGAAGGACAGCGGCTGCGGTGTACGTACACCCAAGACCCATGAAGATCCATATGTGCTGCTGCGCTGCACCTGCTGTATGCACATAGCTTAGGGGGCCCCTGAGGCACCCCTTGGGGGCCCCCCGGGAGGCCCCCCTTCTGCTTCCTGCTCTTCCCGCTGCTGTTGCTGTTGCTGCTGCTGCTGCTGCCCGATGCTGCTGCTGCTGCTGCTGAAGACTCAATGCCACACACAGATAATGCATACTGCTGCCATAGATCAAATAATGGCAATAAGTCTTGGAGCCCTAAACCCTGCTGCTGCTGCTGCTGTTGCTGCTGTCTGCGGCGGTTCCTGCTGCTGCAGCAGCCGAATTCCGCTGCAACATCAAATAGGCCGAGTCGCTTGGCTTGGGTACGGGAGAGCTTCAGCTGCTGCTGCTTCTGCTTCTGCTGCTGCTGCTGTTGCTGCTGCTGCCGCTGCCGCTGCTGCCTCCTGCTGTCATCTAGACGCAGCGCACGGGCCCCTAGCTTCTCATTTACCAGCTCAGCAGCAGACACTCGAAGCGGACAACCCTGCAGCAGCAGCAGCAACAGCAGCAACAACACATGGCATTAGTGCACACAAAACTGGGGAAGACAACAGCTGGTGCTGTTGCTAATGCTAATGCTGCTGCTGCTGTTGCTGCACCTGCAAGTCTTACCTCTAGTAGACTCTGCACAATCTGTAGGTCGGAGCGGTGCTGCAGCACCTGCTGCTGCTGCTGCTGCTGCGAGAACAGTTGTCTATACAGATGATGGGTCTCCAGGGGCGCCACAGGCAGGGAGACCGAAAACTGCTGCTGCTGCTGCTGCTGTTGCTGCTGCTCCTCCGATGGAGCTTTCCGCTTCGATGGCAGCAGCGGGCTGACGCTGTTGTGAGGAAACATCGTCCGCCCCGCTGCAGCAGCAGCAACTGCGCTTGCTGCCGTTGCTGCAGTTGGCGATGCTGCTGTTGTTGTTGCTGCTGCTGCGTCTTCTGCTATTGCTGTTGCTGTTGCTGTTGCTGCAGCAACTTCCAACACATTGGCAGGGGCTCGACGGCCCTTGAGGGGCCCCCAGGACGGGGGCGCGTTCCTCTTGCGTTGCCGCTGCTGCAGCTGCAGCAGCAGCAGCAGCAGCAAAGGAAAATGGTATAGAAAACAATACAATCAAATGTACAAAGACAAGCTATCAATAGAACAGAAGTCTTGGGAAGACCGACAGCTGCTGCAACGCGTAGCAGCAGCGCAGCCGCTACAGCAGCAGCAGCAGCAACAGTACGACAGCAGCAGCAGCAGCAGCAATGGGCCAGCAAGACTAAAACGAATACTGCAGCAGCTGCAGCAGCTGTCTAGAAGCCTAATTTGCATTTTGTTTATTTTGTTTGTTACTTTTTTCTAAAGGAATAGCTGCTGCTGCAGCACACATTAGCGAGCTCATGCAGCAGCAGCAGCAGCAGCAGCAGCAGACCGTGAGGCCCTGCGAGAAGGTCTGCAGCAGCGCAGCAGCTCAAACCAAGAAGGCAAGCGTAAGGCCAACCTAATTAGCTGCTGCGCTGCGTGTCATTTCCGAGGTAGCAAGGGCAAGCAGCAGCAGCAGCAACAGCAGCAGCAGCAGCGGCAACAGCAGCAGCAGCAACGCGCTTAGCAACAGCAGCGCAAGGAGCAGCAGAGCTGCTCCACTGCACACATAAGGTGTAGCCGTCGCTCCAAGGTTCAGCAGCAGAAGCGGCAGCAGCAGGTACTTCAGCCGCAGCAGCAGCGGCGGCAGCAGCAGCAGCTGGATGAGGACATGACCATTGGCTGAGTCCACCGCTGCAGCAAAGACACAGTAGGCATCAGCAGCAGTTGCTGCTGAAGGTAGTTAATCTGGCGTCAACAAGTCGACGCGCAGCAGCAGCAGCAGCAGCAGCATCAACAGCAGCTACTGCAGCAGGAGTAGCAGCAACAACAGCAACAGCAACAGCAGCAAAGCTGCGGCATTTGCTGCCTGCGCATCTAACAGGTTCACAGCAGCAGCAGCAGCCGCAGCAAGACAGTTCACATAATCTGCTGCTGCATCCATATAAGTAGCAGCAGCAGCAGCACCACCACCACCACCAGCAGCACCACCACAACCCCCAGCACCACCAACACCAGCATCACCAGCGCCAGCACCAGCACCACCAGCACCAGAACCAGCACCACCAGCACCACCAGCACCACCAGCAGCAACAGCAGCAGCAACAACAGCAGCAGCAGCAGCAACAGCAGCAGCAGCAGCAGCAGCAAGAAAATGAGTGAAGATTTATATTGGGATGAAAGTACAAAAAGATATTTTAAATTGAATATTCAAAAAGATGAATTTTATTCAGATGATGAGACTCGTGCTGCTGATGCTGCTGCTGCTGAGGAAGCAAGACTATTAGAACAGCAGCAGCAGCAGCAGCAGCAGCAGCAAGAGGAAGAAGAAGAAACAGCAGCAGCAGCAGCAGCAGCGGCAGCCGGGGATGGTGGGGGTGATGGGGGAGGTGGTGCTACACCACCATCTCCTGCTGCTGCAGATTCTCCTGCTGCAGATATAACAGATAGTGCAGCACAAGAACAGCAGCAAACCTCTCCCGATAATGCTGCTGCTGCTGCTGCTGCTGCTGGAGCAGCAGCAGCAACATCTCCTAAACAGGAAACAAAATCTCCAGCATCCGACCAGGCAGCAGCAGCAGATGCAGTTGCAAGAGAGGAAGCAGCAGCAGAGAAGGCTGCTGCAGAAGCAGCAGCAGCACAAAGGGCTGCTGCAAGGAAAGCAACAGCAGCAGCAGCAGCAGCAAAAGCAGCAGCAGAAGCAAAAGCTGCTGCAGCAGAAGAAGCAGAAGCAGAGGCTGCAGCCGCAGAAAGAGCTGCTGAACGGGCAGCTGCAGCAGCTGCTGCTGCAGATGCAGCAGGTGCTGCAGCAGACGCAGCGGCAGCAACTGGAGCAGCAGCAAGTGCAGCAGCAGCAGATGCAGCAGGAAGGGGAACCAGACAAAGTCAAGACGCAAAGGCAGCAGCAGCAGCTCCTGCTGCTGCTGCTGCTGACAAGGCAGCAACAGCAGCTGCTCCTGCACGAGAGAGAGCAGCACCAGACAGCGCACGCCCAGATGCAGCAGCAGCAGCAGCAGCAGCACCAGTGCAGCGGGGCCCTGAGGGCCCAGGGGGCAGCCGCCTGTTAGCAGCAGGAGCAGAGGCAGCAAGACATGCACATCTAGAGATCAGCAAAAAAGTACACACCTGCTGCTGCTGCTGCTGCTGTTTTTTGCTGCTGCTGCTGCTGCTGATGCTGTTGTTCCTGTTGATTCTACAGCTGTTGCTGCTTCTGAATTTGCTGCTGCTGCTGCTGCTGCTGCATGCACGTCTGCTGTTGCATATGCTTCTGGTCTTGCGTGTGTTTCTGCGCCTGATCATCATCATCATCATCATCATCTGCTGCTGCTGCTGTTCTTGCTGCTGCTGCTGCTGCTGCTGCTGCTGCAGTTGGAGGAAGCAGAAGCAGAGATCGCGCGTCTGCGTGCATTGGAGATGTCAAGAGAAAGAGGATTAGGAGACACAGCAGAGAGAGAAAGTCTTAAGAGGGTTAGGAACTGCTGCTGCTGCTGCTGCTGCTGCTGCTGCTGGTGCTGCTGGTCCCGCTGCTGCTGCTGGTGCTACTGCTGGTCCCGCTGCTGCTGCTGCTACTGCTGTTAGCGTCGGATACGTGGTGTGTATAATGTGCTGCAGGAGAGGGATGAGCTACAGCTGCAGCTGCAGCGGCTAAGGGAGGAAGCAGCAGAATTAGAGGTAAATTCTCCTAGCAGCAGCAGTAGCAGCAGCAGCAACAGCAGCAACAGCAGCAACAGCAGCAACAGCAACAGCAGCAGACTTCATGGCATAGTTTTAGGATGCCAGGCTCACTCTTCCCTCTGCTGCTAATGCTGCTGTTGCTGCTGCTGCTCGTGTTGCTGCTGTTGCTGCTGCTGCTGTTGCTGCTGCTGCTGTTGCTGCTGCTGCAGGAAGCAATAGAGGAGGCAGCAGTAGAGAAGGAAGTTGCATTAGAAAACCTCGAGAGGGAAAGAGCGAAGGCAGAAGACATCAAACTACAACTCGAACTACAGGCAAGGGTTTAGGGTTTAGGGTTTAGGGTTTAGGGTTTAGGGTTTGGTTCCTGGGGTTAGGGTTTTTTTTTATATATATGCAAGTAGAGGAATCGAAATCCACCACCAAGGGTTTAGGGTTTAGTTTTTAGGGTTTAGGGTTTGTGCTGCAGTTAACAGAGAAGGAGCTGGAGGTTGTGCAACTGCAGCAGCAGCTAGCAGAGCAGCAGACACGGGAAGCTGCTGCACTGAAGCAGCAGCAGCAAATGCTGCAGCAGCAAGTGCAGCTAATAAATAGAAACAAGGCTAAGGAATTCGAACGTGTAAGGATTCTGCTGTTGATGCTGCAGTTGCTGCTGCTGCTGCCGTTGCTGCTGCTGCTGCTGCAGTCCCTCAGCGCAGTTTGTTCTTTCTTCCGCTGCTTCTGCTGCTGCTGCTGCTGCTGCTGCTCTTTCCCTCCCGTTGCAGTATGAGCAGATACAAGAGCAGCGTAGCAGCTGCAGCAACAGCAACAGCAACCGCAACAGCAGCAGCAGCAGCAGCAGTTCGTATTGTGTTTGCTGCTGCTCCCTCAGGGTGTGCAGCAGCTCAAGCAGCTGCTGCTGTCTGTACAAGAGGAGAGACAAAAGGCATTAGCACAAGCTGCTGCGCTGCAGCAGCAAGCAGCAGAGCAGCAGCAGCAAATAGATATGCTGCGTGTAAGTCTCTCCTGTCTCCGTTTATATTTGTCTCCTTATGTGTCTCTCTTTTGCCTCCTTTTCCCCTTTTATCTCCTGCTGCTGCTGCTGCTGCTGCATCTGTTGCTTCTGCTGCTAATATTGCTGCTGCTGCTGCATGCGTTGCTGCTGCTGTTTGCTGCTGCAAATTGTCTCCTTTCTTTTGCGTGTCTCCTTCTGTGTCTCCTCCAGGCAGCAGCAGCAGATGACCAGAGTTTATTACAAGAGATGGAGGATCAAGAAGAGCAGCAGCAGAAATTGCTGCAGCAGCTGCTGCAGCAGCAGCAGCAGCAGCAGGAGCAGCTACGTGAGGTGTCTAGACAGCGAACAGTTTATCAATTAGCATTCAATCGTCTTTGTAAATTATTTAAGGAACAATACTCTATACAAGTAAATAAATAAATAAATAAATAAATAATTAATTAATTAAATAATTAATTAATTATATTTATTTATTTACTAATTAATTAATTACTTAATTAATTAATTATATTTATTTATTTTATTTTTTTATTTATTTGTTGTTGTTTTTTTGTCTTTTTTTTGTCTTTTTTTGTGTCTCTTCTTGTCTCTCTGTATTGTCTCGTCTATCTTATTGGTTTTGCTGCTGCTGCTGCTATTGCTGGTGTTGCTGCTGCTGTTTCTCTTGCTGCTGCAGAGAACAACTGAGGAGACACTGCGTGAGCAGACACAGCAACTGCAGCAGCAGCTGCAGCAGCTGCAGCAAGTAGCAGTCCCTCGCTGGCAGCGTGTATTCATGTTGCATGAAGCAGCAGCAGCTACTGCAGCAGCAACAGCAGCAGCTGCAGCAGCAGAGCCAGGCGATGAACCAGCAGCAGCAGCAGCAGCAGCAG